CTCATGTTTCTCATCACTTTAGTTATTGACTAAGTTTATTGAAGTTACACAGTTATCATATTAATTCTATTACATCCAAGATATATTATTATACTATAATTTTAATTAGTCTGCTTGACTTAAATTTTTGGTATTAAATGAAACAAAGTGAATTGTATTAATACAAAATAATTTCAGACATCTATTGTACAAAAATCGTTAATAAAATTGTATCAATTTGGAAAATTATATAATAATAATTTAAGTAGGTTATTAAAGATATCAGTATCACTTAAAACTTAATGCAATTCCTCCGTTTTAAATTAATATTAACCTTGACTTGTTAATTCTGTATTTTATAAATCTTATTTCAAGTAATTTAGACTGTGTCTTGATATTTCTAAAAGTAAATTGTAACGTTACTAAAATGTATAGTGTCTAATGATTTTCATTGTATCATATGATTTTATTTGAATATATTAAATTGCTGTTTTTGTCAGGATGTAGTATAAAATTAAATTTAAAAAATTTCCATATACTAGAAATCGATAAATATATATTAGAATAATAAATTGCGCTGTTTATTCAAATTTTACTTGAGACTTTTTTATATTCATAAAACTTTGTATAAAACCATTTTCTTTTAATATATATTTGATCGATATATATTAACTCATACCCAAATAATAAATTCTTTACAAAAAATGCAAATAAAAAATTTTTTCATATAAATCTTACTTCATACATAAATCAGTAACCGAATACTAATGAAAAAATAAACTAAAACACTATTATGTAATAAAACTTTTACAGAAAAATATATAGCACATAAATCTCGATTAAATAGGGAATCAATAATTTTTTGTTCAATAATATGCTTAAAAATTATTTTATTATACTCAGATTTAGGATAATTTTTTAGAACTTATAAAACATCAGTATTATTAAAAATTCATCTATTGAAACTGTATTATGTAAATTAAATTATTGATTCATACTTATTCCATAATGTTATTTTTTAATTAGTTTATCATAGTCACATATTTATTGCAATTATTTTGTTTAATTATTAAATCATAAGTTATAATTACATGGGGTTTTACAATTGCTATTAAATAGATAACTTGAAGTGAATGTAATATCGCCTAAAATAATGCAAATTAATGGAATCTAAAATCTATATAATAATAATAATTAGAAATGAACAAAAATTAAGCCAGAAAACATACTAAATTTTTGTAATTAAGATCATGTACAAATACTTATATAAAATATGATATTATAGAAAAGAATAAAATATGATATTCTTTTAATTTTTCAAACATTTAATATATTAAATACGTTTAAGATTATCAATGAAGTATAATTTATTCATTAGTATCGAAAGTAATAATACTAGTAATAAAAAAACAGTGAAATATTTTCGAGTAGTAGAATTTCAGGTATTTGAATTTGTGTTAAATAAATAATTTAATGTATATTAATAGATAACTATAAATATCAAATAAGAATGTATTTTTTCATTTTTCTTTAAATAACAATCTTTATAAATACTTAATACATAAAACTTTTCCATTATAATATAACTTTTTCTAGTTTATTCTATAATGTGAACACTTTACTTTAAAACTATTATTTTTAAGTTGTAATAGTATGTATTAACTATTTTTACATACTAGAGTCCCATAAAATTCCTTAAAGGTTATCAAACAAATTATTGATCTTAAGCTTTTTCCCCAAATATATTGCCAAGGATTAGAAAAAACTAAATCTGAATATGTAATAAAATATAAGATTTGATCAGATAAGTATTTGAATGGTTTATCATTATCTAATTGTCAAAGTTTTTAAATTTCAATATTATTTTTGCAACAATATTCTAGTAACGTAAAATAATCTTTTAAAAGTCAGCAAACTGAAAATTTTAATAAAGATCTACATACTGAACAATGTAATGCGGTCTGTGTTAAAAGACGAAAGAAAAGAGAAATATGAAGGAGCAAGAATCTCATACTCCTTTGCGTATTAATAAGAAGCTTGAGAAATCGGCTAAACAGGATAGAACAGTAGGCGTTAGTAGCGCCAATGTCACTACATACGTCGGATATTTTCAGGGATGAGTTATGTGCTTGCAAGAGGTTGAGATTCAGTGAAGACACGAAAGAGTGCCGTTGAGATGCAGTGATACTGAGCTTCAACAGACGCTTCGAGTGAAATAAAGATAGATGCATACTTTTCTATAGAGTGTAGAAGAAAAGCAAAGAATGTGACTTGTTTCTGAATAGATAGGAAGCTGAAGTTATGGTGGATGGTTACTTTTCTAAATTCATTTTTTACTCATTCTCCAACTTTCTCTTTTACTTTCTTTTACTCACCAATAGAACCACTGAGACTTAAACCAAGTAACGGAGGAAAAGAATGAAGTCAAATTGTATTTTTGAGATACAATTTCATTACAAATATCTACTTTCTAGTAGCCTTTTGTATCTACCATTGCTTTTCTGTCGTTGCTTTCTTAGAATTTTTCTAATTTCCACTATTATCGTATCATCTTGACAGTATAATTTGCCACTCTCATAAACTAATATCCTTTTCATATTTTTACTTATGTATTTAGGCTTATTTTGGAATTTTATTTGTTTAAAATTTATACTTAAATGCATTTTGAACGTGCTGTCTCTCATAATGCAAGTTTACGAATAAGAAAACTGTCAGCCGTATGAAATTGCTGTAAAACTTAACAAACATATATTTTGTTAACAAAAAAAAATATATTGGGATGTTATATATATATCAATATAAAATAATAGCTGAGTATATATATTTCAATATTTTAATATATAATATTGTATATTTATTTCTTTGACCTCTATTAAGTATTTGTATGTAAATCAAGAAATACTTGATTTTGCAATTTCTTTCGTAATTGCTTTAACAATATTACTTTAATATGATATTTGTTTTTAACTTCATTCATACAACTCAATTAATATATGAATATATTATATTTAATGCAATGTAAAATAAATCTATATATAAAGAAATCAATGAATCTATGTGTTATAAATTAATATTCTTAATTCTTTTTTGAAGTTAAGTTTTGTTTTTATATATGACGTAATAATATCTAAGTAGTCGTTTAGGAAATCACTGAATTTTATTAGTAAGTCTTTTGTAATTTATTAAAAATATATTAAATATCGCCAATGAATTACTGGAAATATATATTGATTTTTAAAACTTGTGTAAACGAAGCCTTTTATTTTTAGTGTAAGTAATTCTAATCGAGCCCTATATAGCAATAATGGAGTTAATATATAACATAAATGAAAAACATATTCATATTGTGTTGAATATATATAATATTTATTAATACCTAATTTTACCTCAAATGTCCATATATATTAAAAATATTTGGATTTTTAAGGATATCGATTAATATAAGTAACAGATATGATCATTTTTATAAAATTTTTGAATTATATCCATTGTCTGGTTAAACACATAATAATTACAGGTAAAAATATTTTTATTCTATTATTTCTTAAAGTATTTTACAATTTCAGAGAATATAGTTTATTTAAAAATAATAGAATATTTTCTAATTAGATTATTGATAAATAAATTAAGTATATTCCATAAATTATACTTCATATTTATTATGTCATAACCATTCGATAACTTTGATATATCATGCAAATGGAATAAATGGGTAATACATTATACAAGATCAAATTTAGCATTTATAATTAATTTGTTATAGTTTTTAAAGATACAGATGATAAAGAAGCTCTGTTTTATACATCTATTTTTATTTAGTCAGATGTATAAAATTAATTTTAGATAAAAATATTTATTTATTAAAAGATACAAAGTATCGAATAAAAGGCAATCATTTCTTTTGAATGATTAATTGATTTGTCCTACGTTTATAAATTGTTATTTTTAATAATATTTTCATTTCAATTACATTTAAGAACAATTATTAAATATTTATCATTACATAATTAATGAATATAATGAAGAGATAGGAAACTTTTATGATTCTGGGCACTTATTCTGATATGTAGTGTGATACTGCAAGAAGTTTATACCTATATATTATGGAAATAGAGAATTCGAATGTTATAGGATACCTCTAATAAATGTATCATATTTTTTGAGAAATTAATTTTAGTAGTCGTAATCTTAATATAAGTTTGTTCAGAAATAATATGTCATAAGATCATAGAAACTTTTTCATAAATGATATTACCGTACTGGTATTTTTAACTCTACAAAAACTTTTTTACATTCTTCGTATGCGTAACGTAAATTAGAATTTTAATGTTCATTAAATAAGCACTTGTAAATAGTTTCCATATGCTTTTGTATTTTCTATTTTTCACTATAGTGATACATGTTGAAATATGAGCACCAAGATAATCATTGTTTCAACGGGACTTTCATATAAATTGAGATTCCGCAGTTGCAAATAGGTTATGCATTAACACGAGTAAATTTATAATTGTTCTGTTTCATTACTTAATATATTTATTTATTCAAAGCACGCTTGATAATAACTAATATTTAACCGAAAGATAAGATAATACAGAATTACCTTTTATTAAAAGTATTCTACTTAAGAAGATGAAATTTTGTACATGTTACTAACATTGAAGGTTATAATAATATTTGTTATTTAAAATGAAAAAAAAATTAAATTATCGAGTAATGATATGGACATTTCATTGAAAATTGTATATAATAATTAATAATTTTATAAAATTTATACGACTGACTATTTCTCTATATATTCCTGTTGTATTTATATTATTTATAAATAATCGTAGAAAAAATTACCTTTTTAGTGTTAGTTATCTAAAAAATTTTTAACTTAAAATCATGTTATATATTTATATTGATACAAAACAAATTGTTAATTAATGTTATTTGTAAAATATTTTAGGAGATCATAAATACAATGAATTTTTTTAATTTTAAGCTTGATTTCAAAATTAAATTATAACTTCTATACTTACATTATGAATCCATGTCAATTTCGACCATGGTGGATTTGCTTTTATTTGACATTCAAAATAAACATCATCGCCTTCCTTGATATCTTCTGCACTTAATGTTGATCCAAGTCGTAATGATACGATCGGTGCATCTGTATAAAGATCAAACATATACATTATAATTGAAATTATTATTATAAATAATAATAGGGTATATTTAATGTTAAAAATTGAATAAGTTTTTGAATTTTAAATTATACTTAATAGTTTTAAGTTTTAGTGTTTAATGTCGTTATTTTAAAAATAAATTTCCTTAATAAGGTAAACAAATTGCTTATTAAATTAAAAATACCAATTACTTATAATTCAATTTAAATTATATAATTTCATTCTATTGAAATTAAGCGAATGTTTAACAAAATTTTAGTTTCACTTCTCTGTACATCATGTAAGCATAATACAAATATGACAAAAGGACATGAAAGCTAAGGTAAAACTATTGCATATTATATCAAATACATTTTTATTTAGACATTCTCAAATAATATATAAATTAGTAATATAATATTATACTTTTTGGTACATAATAAATAATATTTATATAAATAATTTTGAAAATATATGAAAATTTTCATTCATAATAATACAAGTACCAATGCCAGATTTTATTGGAATCCATTAAATAATAGAGTTCAAAAAATTAATACTTGAAATATTTTGTTAATATTATTAAGTTATATTATAAGTAGATATTTTTTAATTAATGCAACTTAAATCTAATGAGTCGAGAAGAAGTAAGGTTTCTAAATACTTCTAAGATTTCTCTTATAAGATACATTGTAAAATTTGTCCTTCATTCAAGTAGATTCGATAAAACGATAATTTTGCTAAATTATCGTTAATTAATTGAAAATTGTTACTGATATTCATTTTTTTATAATAGTTGAATTAACAAAAGAATATCAAATAATTTTAAAGAAATATTTGGAATAATTTTATTATAAATTAAAATTTTTAGGTCAACCACAAAATTACCTTTTTTTAAATTCTGCGAATAATTTACTCAAGCTATAATTATGTACTTCTGTGTTGTTATAAACATCTGGCATTAAAAAAAAAAGCAATAATTGGCACTGTTAATATGAATGCTCATTATGATGTCATACATAAGTTGATAACAATATAGAGAAAAAGCAACAAAAGGGCAGGATCGAAGTCACCTTTCATTTTCCTCTATTGCAGTATGTACATATATCGAAGGCCATAACTTTTCGTGTGCACTGGCATGCCAGACGTAAAGTTTACGAGGTCGGATGAATATAGCGTTGCGATAAATTTCTTTGGTCAATAAATGTGAGCGCACATATCATAGACGGTCATAGCGACACGCACCAGGACAATGCTTTAAATTTGGCAGGGGAGGTAATCTCTCTCTCTCCCTCTCTCTTTCTCTTTCTCTCTCTCTCTCCCTCTCTCTTTCTCTTTCTCTCTCTCTCTCCCTCTCTCTTTCTCTTTCTCTCTCTCTCTCCCTCTCTCTTTCTCTTTCTCTCTCTCTCTCCCTCTCCCCCCCCCCCCCCCTCTATCCCTCTTTCTCTCTCTAACTCTGTCTTTTTTTTTATATTCGTTCATATATTTTTTGTAAAATATACGTTTGTTTTTTTAGTTCTATTCAATAATGGAGAAAACACTAAGGCTACATAAATACAAACTATAGGTAATATGTAGGGGAACGAGAGAAGATAAGTTTGCAGATAGAAGGAAGAAAACAAAAATGGAGCTAGTCTGATATTGCCTCCTATATAGAATAATCAAATATTTTTTAAGATATATGTGTAATATAATGGAATATATGTAGATGAAAAAATGCATATATTCCAGCACGCTGTTGAAAATCCTAGCAAGAAAAAGCAGTAGATTTGGAATAAAATTTCCATCGGTATAGATTTTTGATTATAAAAACTACAAAAATTTTATATTTATTCAAAAATCCATTGATTTTCAAGAAATTTATATTACCGTCCTGCGAATATATATTTATGATATATTTTTAATTATTTCAATTCAATCAAAGAATAGTTTTTAGTTAAATGTTTATTTTATTTTTATACTATATTTATTTATGAATATATAAAATGTTTAAAGCAATAAAAAGATGTTAATTATATTCATTTGTAAAAAAAATAATAATTATATAAGATTTTCTTTTATTGATTTTTTGAGAAATGATATACAAATTTTTAAAATCCATTGCTCATGTAAGTTCGAGAATTTTTAATATAATTAGGATAGTATAAGTAGTACATTTATTGTTTGCATAGAAGAATATAAATGGGATAATTTAAAAATCGTAGAATAAAATCATCGATGAATGCCAAATTTTTATCTAAAAATGACTTTCATTATTCCATTACTTTTAAAAGATGATTATGTTATCACTTTCATGACATATATTTAAAATATAATTAAAAACCAGTTCGAAAAAATGTTTATAATAGAGTAATTTTGTTTCATAATTTTCTTATATAATTTGCATTAAATATAACATAATTGAAATACATACTATTTAAAAAATGATATATACAAATAATTTTCCAATTAATGTTATTTCAATTATATAATTTGTCTTATTTCTAGACAATTATTTCACTTTTTAATAACACAAAATTTGCAGTTAAAATTACGGTCTGAAAAATATGAATTTGAATGGGCAATGTAGATGGAAAATGATGATGCAATTATTTGTAAAAATAAATAAGAATGGGACAAGTAAATGGAAGATTGGCTAGATATGCGTGGTAGTGCTGACTCCAAATACGAATTTTCTCTTTGCTAAGGTAAATTCAGACTACTTGGTTCGAGTCGACGCCTTTCGCTTCTTTTCATCCTTTTTACGACAGATCTTTTACTCCGTTTTTTATGAAGAATAAGAATCGTCAGCCAATCGCGAGCGGCTCGTTCAGACTCGTTTTCAGACGTACGTGAGTCAACCATAAAAAAACGATGACGTCTCACCTTAGGCGTGTGAAGGACAGAATAGCAAGGCGGACGAGTGGAAAGAAAGAGAGAAATCACCTCTGGTGGTGTAGGAGGAGCTGGAAAAGGAGAATGTGAAATTACTTACATACAACGTCGATCCGCCAAGATGTCTCTAGAAAAAGTCCGGTCACGTTTGGATTTTCCGCCCTGCAAGTCACCGATTTTCCGTCGTCGTCTACTCCTGGCACGAACTCCACCCTACTGATCGTGCAATTTTCTGTGTTGATCGTGCCCTTCTCTTCCTGTAAATAGAAACACAACTATATAAACACGAATATAAATATGGAGAGATGGATATGTGTACGCGCTTTTATGAGAGGCGAATTCGAGGTGTTTGCGTTTGCATATACATATAGCAATAGCTTTCACTGTACAGCTATGTACATTTATATACATATATGAATATTTTATTTATATATGTAATAATATATGTTTGAATAGGTATTTGTATACAATTTTTTGGTATTTGTCATATTGCTTGTGCAGATCAACAAATTCATTCAAAAACCAACAAATAGACTAACAAATAAATTCAAGAATGTGTTAACTTCCTTTTGTCACTTGCTATTTGATCAAGAATAATCACATGCATCTAAACAGATATATGTACATGCAGAAATATTTTTGAAAAAATTTTACTTTATAAATGAATGCTGTATTAGTATCATACATTAGAATGCGCCTATAGTACGTTAAAATATGAATTATGATTATATTTTTAAATCTTATGATAAATAAAATACCTATGAATATAATTAAGCCAATTAAATTTTATTCTATAATTGAATTAAAACAATGATTCTGTTTAGTCTATAAATTGTAGGAGGTAACGCTACATTTTTATTTGAAATTTTATGCTCTAGTGAAGTGTAATTAAATTAACAAATTATTTTATAGTACTATTAGTGGATCTTGTTAAATATTTTTAATAGATAAGTTTGTATATAAAGGTATATATTTTATCATATATATATTATAAATTAACTAGTGTTAATATTACATCCTCTCGATAATAAATTATAATAAACATTTAATATGAGAGTTTGTGTTATATAATATCCGCAATAGCATATTCAAATTACAAGTATGTTCTTTAATTTATTTTGAATATCTTGGAATCAGTTTTTTTTAACAATATATACTAAAAATTCAGTATTTCGTAAACTCAAACACATTAAATTTGTTACAATTTTAAAACTGATTTCATAATGTTCATTTTCAACAGATATTTGAACAAACTTTGAACTTGAACAAACGAATTATGAACCTTATTTAGTTACATTTATTTGTTCATCTAAATGATATTTAGCTATCTAACATTAAGCATTACTCGTAATATTATTAATATCAATGTAGTTTGTTAATTTAAATTAATTAATTCACTCCTTAAGCTTCATAAATCACTTGACATAATTTGCTTATTGGTATAAATTCTCAGACTCTTTGCTTCAAGTATATGAGCGAAAAAGTTCTAATTTTATTAATAGGGAAAACGAAGCAATAGTCTTTAAACAGATAATGTATAATATTCGAATATCGTAATTCATCTATTTTATTTTCCCTATTTACATTCCTATTTACATTCCCAATCATTGTTTTCAACAATTTTTTAACCCTAGGACGTTCATAGATGTCCAAACGTAGAAGCGAATTCAAATAGGCGACGTTGTGAATTATAATCGTTCACTGTTGAAATTTGAGATTAAAAACAGATTGTCAATCTGTGACCGCATACGTGTGTATACATGTGAGAATAAGTGCTCGGATATAATTTATATATTTCTTCGTAAGTACAAGCTGGAAATAACTTTTCGTTTCCTTCTGATTCTGCTTAAGATTTAACGATTATAGTCCCTTACTCGCGCATCTTTAACTAAGAGCATCCAAATAATTTATTTAAAAATAAGTTTTGAGTGCGAAATGATTAGTATTGGCTTTAGCATATGAATTACAAACTCATCTATTGTTACGAGTAATTGTATACAAGTTCGTTTGCCTATTTTAATTAATTATGTAATTTTGTATATATTACTTGTATATTTTCATTCTTTATTTTTTACTTTATAAGGGATCATGATTCAAAAATTTAGTAAAAACAATTGCCAAGGCCAAGGGTATGAAATAGAGAAATAAGACACATTTTTCCATGAACATATTTCGTTTAGTTATAGAATGCTTCATTATAATTATGATATTTTTTAATACTGCAATTCATTCATTCTTAAATTTCAGATGAAATTATTATAAAGTATTTTATATAATTATTACATTAGTTGTCGAGTTTGAAAAGTACTTCACTTAATTTAGCGTTTATTTAAATAATAACATTTGTTATCATCTTTCATAAAAAATAAATAACAAATAGTTATTATTATGTCTACGCCCTATACATAATATAATATAATTATGAAGAACATTCGTAAATATTTTTGGAACGTATTTCAATTGCAATTATTTAAATATTTTCAGTTATATCTTATTAGTTGCAATGTATTCATAGATGATAAAATATTGGTTAAATAAAAGCAAATTGTATATTATACATATAATATAATAATTTAAAAAATAATACTATTTAGTTTAGATTATGATGTTTATAGTATTTAAAAAACATACGATTATGTATACTAGCAACGGCGTTTTAATAAGAATTCCATAATTAACCGTAATAATATTATTTACAAGAGAAAAACGCATCTTCTATTCTGTATAAATTTCTGTAAAAATTTCTGTATAAATTTTGCAATGTAAATATTAAAATACCTCAATTTTTTTATAATAAGTAATAAATTATATTAATGATATTTTTATTTTGTTTCTATCAAAAAAAGAATTAGTTCTTATAAATTATGAAATAAAACCACAAAAATAAATAAATTAAGTAATCATAGACGATATTTTATTTGACAATTATTAACATAATTTCTAAAAAAATTATTGATGTAATTTCTAAAAAGACAATGACACTCTTTTACTTTATTTTAATTTCTAGAGTAATAGATATGAAGAGTAAGCATAATTTTATCATTTTAAAAGCTATACTTTATTAATGTGATATAATGTAATTACATTAGATTAAATAAAAAATAAACTTATATAAATGCACAAAATGAAGTATTAAGGAAAAATAAGGTACAGATTTTTAATAATTACATGCGCATACTTGTTAATAGATTTCTATTTTCATACGAAATATAATTGTGAATCACCTATGGTTTATATAGAATGGTGTATTAGTATTTCCATTACTTCCAATTTAATTAAAATTAAAATTTCAATGTAATAAGTAATTTATAAACGAACATTTTTTTAATAATATATATAAATGTTAAATTAAATAATTAGTTTCTTAATTACAGAATTTTTAAAACATTATATATTATTTATCAATTTGATAGAGAATTTGTTTATTTGTTAAGAGAAGTCTTATTATTTCATAGAAAATAATAAGTTTCGTTTTATGTATGATTTTAGTTTTGAATACGATATAAGTTTCTAACGAATGTGTTACCATTTCTTAAATTTTTAAAAAATATAAAAATTATATTAAAGTTATTGAAAGATTTTTAATTTTTACGAAATTGATGTTTAAAATGAAAGAGATGAAAAACTTGTAAGAAATGCTCGAAAAAAAGTATACGATCAAGATAATTAGGATGCTAATCGATTAACGCGAACTGACATCCATTACTTATAACTTTGATTTTATGAATATTTTAGTCGTTCGTATATATTTAGTTTTAAAATAATTAAAACTAAATTGAATTAAATCTATATTGAAAAAAATACCAAAAATTTGAAATTGCAAATTTTTTATATTTTCTAGTATTCGTTTAAGTTGTATTTTATTATTACCTTATGATTGAGTAAAGTTAGTAAAAAATGTAAAGATCAGCAAATATTCCTTTTCTAGAAATTATCCAGGACACAGATTTATATGTTTGAGCCTACGAAGTTTGAGAAACGGTCAAAGCAAACAGTCGAGTAGACCGCAAAATTAATGTGACTTTTTAATTTATTGTTCCCGTTCTCGATTAATTCTATTTTAACATTGGGGTGTAGAGGGTATATTTATTATAAAACTGGAATATGTGCGGGAATGGCGTGATTTAAGAGAGATGTTGGAGAATAATTTGTTTTTAAATTAATTTGATTGGTGTGTATCATGATCTTTTGACTTTTGGCCAGAGTATTTTATCTTTATATATTCTTGTGTGAATATTATATTATGATTTTATTTATATGCAAAACTTATAAAACAATGCATAATAAATTTCGTTGTTTAATTATCTAAGCAATTAAGATTAAAAATTTAAAAAATGAATTTTAATTTTGGAGTAAAATGTCAGTATTTCTATATATAATAAAAAATTTCTACTCGAATTTATATGATATTTATTTTATTTTATTAAATTCAAAATTAATTATAATTATAAACAATCAATTATATTCAATCGTGATTATAGTTTTCATTTGTGAAAGATGATTCAATGTTTAAATTAAAAAAATTATTCATTTTATTGGTATAGAAAAATGTTATAGTATATTCAAAAGTATAGAAAAAATACATTTTGTGATTAAAATAGTTGATAAATATATACAAAAATACTAGTTAATTTTTTTTTATAAATTGTAAAATCATTCTTCTAAAATTGTAATCTTAATAATTTTAAAAAGGGACAATACCTGCAATTTAATTTAAATTAAATGTAATTATTACATATGTATATATTTTTGTACATAACCTACAATAAAATTCAGTCACCTGACCATTTTGTATACTATATAAATTGAGAGTAAATAAAATAAGATACATATTTAAAAATTTGCACAATTTTTTATGCCACTTAACTATTTTTTAAATATACATATATCCAACTCTAGTAATATACATTTAAATAGTTTATTCCATACATTAAAAATACAAGAACATTGATTATTAATAGTAATGATTTTTGCTATGTTTCATTAATCAAATAGATATAAAAATATTAAAAGTTATTTAAATATTCAATTTTTAATTTAATAAAGTCAAAATTACACGTGAAAATAATTCAATTTGTAATGAATATTCTTAATTATATTATATCGATAAAATACTAAATGATATAATTTTTTTCATATTACCGATACACATAAATTATCTGAACAATGTGCACTATAATAGAAATTGTACTTACGAATATATTGAGTGGAATACGAAATGAAATAGAGCATTGAACTATTCTAATAGAGATCAATA